TTCTGTTTATTATGACCCATGAGAAGTGTACAGTAAGAAGTTAATATGTTCATGCTTTATAAGATTATGATCTGCTAGAAGTCTAAGACAGAAGTTAATATGTTCATGCTTGATAAGATTATGATCTGCTAGAAGTCTAAGACAGAAGTTAATATGGTCCCGCTCGAAAGGTTTTAATTATTAGGGTTATATTTGAAACCACACACCTGTGTTGCTTAACAAGAGCACAGTTTCCTCCTTCACCTGGCTCCAAATTATAGATATACAAATATCCATCAGCTGAAGCTACCAGTACTCTTGGTATCTTCTGAATTCTATTGCAAAAATCATACTCTTTGTTATGTAGAACATAAAGAAATATATATCTGAGTTATACAAGTTAATTCCTTCTGTATTCAAAGTTGTACGAGTAATTTAACTTTCCTGACAAACAAGTATTTTTTCTCAACAAACATCTTTAGTAAAATCCATGAATCATCCATAGTTAGTGCATCAAAAGAATAAACCTTAGTAGTAAAATTAACCACTTACCAAATTTGAAAACATAAAACCAAAACGTGGTACATCTTTTTTTTTCAGTTACAAAACTTGGCCCATAACCTACACAGCTTTCACAAATTTCCCACAAATAATTGACGTATTACTTCTCTCAACACAACCGTAGCCTTCAATGATTATCTATGATGCAAAAATTAAATAAAATTTCTACATGCATATGTAAATAACTATGAAATTTTTCTTTGGCAACCCTCATATTTCTAGTTCCATGAGCTTGACTGAATAATAATCATGTCTTTAAAAACTGAAAGGTAACAATAGGAGCTAATTACATGTTTACCAATAAATTTTACATGGCTGTTGTTTGTTGAAAAATTAAAGTACAAATGTCTGTTTCTAAATAACAAGTACACAGTATATGTTAGAAAGACTTACAATGCCAAGGCACACACGTTTTTAAGGCCAGAGAAAGGGAGATGAACAGTAGCAAATGATCTTCCTTGGTTAAACATATCTGTCACTTGAGTTGGTAAATAGCTAGCAGACTGCATTAAGGCTTTTCCTACATACTCCATCCAACCTTGAGGTTCTTCAACATACCTTCTGTGAAAGAAAAACAAATAAAATCTATATTTCCAAACAGGAATCCAGCAGTAAAGAGCAACTGATGACAAAAATTGTGTTATTATATGTTATAATCCACCTGGAAGTAAGCATTTGTGAAGGCCACATGGAAAAACAACCTAAGTACTTGAATTTATCTTTACTGTTCTAACTTAATGTCATATTTGAATCAGATTGAAAAGATTCATGGGGTTTTAATGTTAGTGAAAAAATATGAATACGTTCTCTTTACATAAACTTTTTATTTAAAAATAATGATTAATTTCTTTTAAAAAAAATGTCAAATAAACATACTCTTACATCTAAAATCCTGGAATATATAGTTTAAATTTTCAATGATTACTGCCATACTGGTACAGATAATACATTTTCTTAAATGTAATAATACATTAAATGTCAATTAAAAAATTATTCAAATATTTCTTCTGAATATTGTGTAATCTCATTAATAAGTTGAAAATTTTTTGTTTAATCATTTAAGATAAACCTTCTGCAATAAATTACTTAAGCATACTAACATCACATATTGATTGTGTTCATCAAGTGACAAAGCATCACTAATCCTAATTTTTTATCACCTTTGTGTTAAAGGCCTGATGTTGTTTTCACTCTATCACAGTTGTTATGAAATCAAGTAATCAGAAACAATCTAATGCTATAGCAAACACAGACACACACACACACACATATATATATATATATATATATCTGTAATCAAGAATTAAAGTATTATAACAATATACTGTTTGTTATGACAATGTTTTTCTTTAGCTACATAAGAAAATGAATTTGTGGAAGACACTAAAGGCAATAATATATGTCAAAAAGAAATGAAATATAAGTATACATATAGAACAAGCATTTGTAGCAGTATGAAAATATGAAAGATTTATGTAGTGACCATTTACATAGCACTGGAATACTTTCTTATATAAAAACAGCAAAAGGAGCATTTGGTTTTGAATTTCACAGGTGAAAAAATTTTTCAAAATTATAAACTTTTTGTGCAACATTTCATTACGAAATTATTCTCTGAATCCATCCCATAAGGTGAAATATCACAGAGAGTGGAAAGGTTCCAATGGATTAACAAATAGGAACAGGAACCATGGAAAGAAGCCATGAATGCAATATAACATCATACATCATGAACAAGACAGAGGAGACAATCCAGATCAAAACAAAAATATAAAAGGGAAATGGAAGGAAGGGAAATATGGGCCAAAGTGATGTCACCTTCACGAGCCAATGACTTGTTAGAAATAAAGCTGTGATCCAGATACAGGAGAACATAGGTACGGTGATAAAGGACACATGATACGCTGAGAAAGGAAACATCTGACTGATGATGACCACAGGCAAGAAAAAAGTAAAAAATAGGTCTTGAGGGACAAATGGTACAGAGAACAAGTGGCTAAAGGTTTGAAATGAGATAGGGTATGGGCATGAAGAACTATAGTGAGGTCCCAATCAGGAAAGGACATAGTATCAGGAGGATGAAGGAGATCTAAGGAATGAAAAAAAAGGGAGAGAACAGGAGAGGAAAACACTAATGGAACTGGAGAAATGGAAGGTATTGGACAAGGTTGCTCTATATCTGACAGTGGTAGAAATGGAAAAACCACTCTCAGACAGCCAGGTAAATAAAATTCAGAGAAATGAGGAAAAGTAGGATGAGAAAGGAGGTAACCATTGCACAGAGACCACCAGCAAAAAACACACCATCTTCTCTGATACACCAGTAAGGAGGAAGGACGGACAGGATGGGAAAGAATGGAAGCTACCTGCATGGAGAGCCCAGACTGCCTTGCAATGGACCAGATAAATACCACATGTAAAACCAGAGTGTGGAGACACTGGGATTATACACTGGTGACTGAGGTTGTCAAAGAAGGGACGAGGATAGCAGAAGTTGTAACAGAGATGCTGACTGAAGGAGGGTAAGAATCAGAAACCAAGGTTGAGCAGGTCATAAAGGCTCAATGAGAAGAACCAGGTAGTAAGATGAAGGGGCGGAATGTAAAAGGGAAAGAGAAGAACCATATGATAGAGGTGACACAGACAAGATGTAACATACCTGTGACACCATATCTAGAAAGGCTGAAGACAGTCTACGGGTGTTGACAGGGGGACGAAGGGATTGCACAGCAAAGGAAGGAGGTTGAAAAAGGCTATCCAAATCATCATCATCTTGTCCACTTTCACCAGGAAAGAGAATAACTGGTTTGGGATTAGGTGACACTACATGTCACATAATGGAATCCAATTCACAATGTACTAAAACCAAGACCTACTCAGTTGAAAGTGTGGAGCCTGGAGCCTGAGAAACTGCAATTTAAGATTCAGTAGTAGTGTGAACTATTGCAGTAGTAGCAGTGATTTGAAATTAGGAATTCATAACTCAACTAACAGTAGATAACAAAAGTAACAACCAACAATAACTCAAGTTTAACTGCAGAAAAACAAAAAACTAGAAACAACAAAGTCGTGGAAAAAAATTTTTCTAAAAGCAAATTTTTAACACGTCTTCACATTATTATGTCAAATCATGATGTGAAGGTTGAGTTCTACAGTATAGAAGGAGCCAGCTGCATCAGGAGGGTATGTTGCACTCCTATTGGTGGAAGGTTGTCGCATGCTTGTTTGCATGCCACAGCATAGCTATACCACATTACACATGTGGGGTAGGTGGGAGTATCAAGGATAGTGGCGAGTGAAAACTTTTGCATATAGAGGGCAGCATTTAATGAGAAAAGCTATTATGTGAGAGTTAGTAAGGTATTGTATTGGAAGTTTCAGCTGACATGCATGCATTGCCAGCACTGGCTAACATATCCTTGGACACACACGTATCCAGTGGCAGTGAATGTGTTAAGCAAGGATAAACCCCAAGCTTTGAAAAATTATAAGAAAATTGTATTCTTTTAACCAGAAAAAGGTAATGGGGTTGTGAACTTTAAAGTAAATTACATCAACAAAGTGGAAAAAAAAGTAATATGGATAATTCTTTAGAAGTTAGGAGTCATGTAACAGCAACGAAGGAAGCCAAACTTATGAGATGCCTTTTAAAGTTAAAAAGAAAAAATGAAAAAGAGTACTATTATACAAGATATCAGAGTCTGAAATTAAAAGTAGCTGGCCTCATAGGTTAAAAACTGAAAATTATACAATGATTATCAATAAACATTGTAAGAAATATCGATTTCTTTTTCTATTTTGATCTGAATTTATTTTAGCTTGTTTTGCAAGCAAAACAAAGCCTTATACCTGAACCCTTAATAGTGTGGCATGCCATTTCATACTTATTACCAAGACTACCTTAAAATGAACATATCTAGTTTAAATTTGCTACAAGAAATTAAAATTAAAAAAAAAAACCTTCCTTTTTTTTCCAGATACCTTAAATAGGTAATCACATCCAGATGAGTTACCTCCAGAATTATTTGTAGCTTCATTTAGATACTGATGTAAGGAAGAAGAACCAGAGATCGTAGCTTATGCTCCTAGACTTAGTGATATCATACGCCTTTTCAAGATTACTCTATCCATTTTATTTAGTAATTAAAAATTTTTTTACTATGACATTCTAATATTTAAAAACCTGGTATAATTTGACATGTATACAACCATTTTTTTAACAAAAGTGAACAAAAAGAAAAAACAGTAGATTGCCACAATCTTATATGCAGTAATTTACTTGCAATTTTTCAAATATTGTAAGCTTAGATAACAGGAAAAGTACACCATATGTTTACTTGTTTTTATTATATCCTTATGTATTTAACATAAAATAACCAATTTATTTTTCATTCCTGAAACTTCTCTTTTTTACCACAAAGTTGTACTTACCTTTTTTTTTCTAGAGCAAGCTTTTTAAATTATTTTTCTATATTACTTAGTGAATCGCATTTACAAAGACTAAAAATACTTACATGTAAATGGCAATGTTTTATGCACAGTCACTCTTTTTGAAGGGAAGTGGAAAATATTCTGTATTAAACATACATAAGCTTTGAAATGGAAAGCAGAATACTTTAAAAAGCATCACAGAAGTCTTTCAACTTGAGATTTACAATTTTCACAGGTTCTCTATTAATGGCTAGATTACAGCTGCAGATTGTCTGGCTACATTAAAAATATTTTTTGCTAAAGAAATACATTTTTTTCAGTTAGGTACCAATAAATAATAATGATTACCAATAATTTTAGAACGCTAATAAAACTTGTAATTTTATTACCAAAAAGTGTTTTACGTATATATATATATATATTAGTTATGTCTTTGCACTTAAATTTAATGTTTGATACTTCTGTAACACTTTCTTATAAATTTGATTTAAAATAATGACTTAAATGTTAGCCAAATTTCAGTTATACTGCACATGCTTGCTTTTAATTTTTTTTTTTTCCTGGCCTGACATTAATAGCAAGTGTGCAAACAGCAGCCCTTATAATACTTCCATTAAGAGAACAATTATGAAAGCTTTAACTAAATGTTTTTGTCAGTTATGTTTATCCTAAAGCACCTTAGTCTATGCCCATTAAAAACAAGCTAATGAGATGAAAGATCATGCAAACATGAACCAGGAGCCTACAAACCTTCACTGGAACTTCCCTCACAGCCCCGTACAACAGCAGCATAGCTTGAAGCCCCTGTAGCCGAAGATAAGGCAATTTTATTAGCCCACACTATTAAGGGTATGCAGGTACCCAATCTGCTAAATTTTAATTTTGTTACGAGTTTCTTTACTTCCCATAAAAATTATACATTTTATTTGAAGATAATTGAATCAAAGAAACACATCAAAAACATGAACCAAAAAAAAACATTGTTACAGAAAGAAATAAGCTAGAGCTTGGAAGCCTAAATCAAAACATATGTAATTACTGAACAAATGCAGTAACAAGACAAAATGTAAAGAGCACAAAAAGCAAAAGAAATTGAAACAAAAGCAAGATATATATTTATAAAACAGGATACAAAAATTGTTTTATAACTTAATATTCACTTCTCTTGTGGCTATTGTACTTTTGTCTTTCTTTGTTATTGAGTGACAGATAAAGAATTTTAGTGTGAAATTCAAAGTACTACGTGAATGCTTCAGATACATTTTAGTTGACCAAAAGCAGTTAGACTTTAATTACAAAAGACCCCAGCTAGTGCTATATAAACAAATGCTCTGAATCAGACTGATAAATTATTTTTATATCTTTACAAAGGAACGTTGTTAAGATACAATAAATTTAACTGTATACCAAAAACTTCCTTCTCTTTTTCTGTTTAGCATAATACAACTCTGTAATTTAGCGGATAGTTTTGTATTAAACCTTCCAGAAAACAGACTTGAACTATAACAGTAAAGTTCTGATGATTCTACCCCTTCATGCAGGGTTTGCAAAATCATTGCAATGTATAAGGGGCTCATTCTTCGATAGCTCTTTCAAGCAGAGCTACGAAGTTTTTAATTTTAGAATTTTGCACAAAATTACACAAGGGTTATCTGTATATAACTCACTAGTTTTGAACTGAGAGTAAAGAGAAGAAAGCTAGTTAACAGCACAAAATGTCATCTCATGGGCTACTCTTGTCTGATTGAATAGTGGGAGTTGATCACCACTTTTGTAATGCACCTAAAATCTCAAAATACAGCACACGATTTTGTGGCAAAGGTTCACAGTATAGTTTCTACAGAAAATTATCTTAATAATACAGTAAATTTTGAAATTTCTCAATTCTGTAATTATAACATGGTTCTGTAGCAGTAACAGATTGTAAGGAAAATCTTCCACTTAGTGATTTCTTTTATGACAAGAAAACCAATTTTTATGATAGCATCAATTGTGGTTCTATGTGTTATTTAGGTTTTGAATTTGATTTTTTTTGTATTTTAAGGTTTTTTTTAAAATGGTGAAAATCGTTATGCTTAATAATTACAATGTTCAAGAATCTTCAGTTATAGTATGATCTTTCCAATAAAAAGCTAAGTATAACAATATAATAAGCATGCATGGAATATTATATTTGTTATCGTGACATACACTTTACCGTACCTGTCCATATAGGTTAGAAAATTGCTTGGCTCAAGAGCAACTTTACTACAGCAAGCGATAGAGCAGTTAGGTCATTATCTTATATAAAAATAAATCTTGTACAGTGTTTTCATTGGATTAATACGTACAGAAAGGCCCTATGGATAAATGTGTTATTATTTAAAAAAAACTTTAATGTGTGTGTATATATTATCAGTAATTTTCCATAAAGCATTGAGAACAACATTTAAGTCATATAACCAGTGTTTGAATTATTTTGTTAAGTATATATATTTGTTCAGAAACATAAATCAAATAAATATTATTATTAAAATTATGCACATTTATACATTTTGACGACTTTGATTTGACCTTTATATCATGACATCATGTCAGGTAACAAATATTTCTATATATGCCTAAACACTTTCATTTTCAACATTCCACACCTACTTCACAACAATAGGAATAATTAGGACTTTTGTTCTTACCCTGTACATACATACATACTATACTTGTGGAAAAGTCTGTTACATAGATATACGTGAAATGTCTAACCTGGTTTTTCCATTCTTCTGTTAGCAACCACTGGACTTTCTTTGACTTGTGCCAGTCCAGAAGCTTGATCACCTGATAAGTCGACATGTCCATCCAATCTATCCACAAAAATTCAAAAGACAGCTTAGGATTTCACTTGTAAGGTTTTATTGTAAGAACAATTTCCTTGAATTGATATATGTTCTTTTAAGAGTTCTGAACTGAAAAAGAAGTACAATATACAGCATTGGCTCTAGGTATTTAAGTTCACCTGCTAATTCTAAGCAATTCTAAATTTGGTGCATTCATAAATATATTAGCTTGAATATATAAGAACAATAATCTTATACGTTTGAAAAGTTATATTTGAGCATTAACTACTGGTAAGTACTCCACAGATTTACACTGAAAGAAATGTCAAACCAAACAAACTACTACAGTGTAAAATAAACACATATAATGAGTACTTAATTAATAAAGCCTCTACCTTCAGGAGTTTAAATCAAAAATAAATTACTATAGGTACATTACACATATAGATAATACATCTTTACATGTAGATTTTGGGCAATAAAGTTAGAAAAAAAAATGCCCTTTACTCTCCAGATAAAAGAAAAAAAAATATTTCAGGCAATGTTTTGTTCTTGCAGCTTTATTAATTCAGGTAGTACAAGAAGTAGCTTGTGAACAGCATCTTATGCATACATGGATTACTGGTAACATCAGAGGTGTCCAAGTGTGGTACAGCTGTCTTTAATGTTGAATTACTGACCAGAGAGCAGCCAGAAGCATTTGCAACCACAATGGATTCATCCAGATATAAAATAATGAGACAGACTATCACTTAAATGTACCCATGGCTGAAAATTCACAGCTTGTTCAACAGCATTGTTTTGAACCCATCCATACAGTCCCCACCAAGTCCTGCTTGTACACTGCTCATCAAATAATGCAGCATAATTTTACCACATTTATTTAAGTTGGAAAATTATTTCATACACAAATTACATACCATCAAATTTAAAATTTTATATGCAATGCTGTCTGTGCAGGCTAAATCTCTGAAATCATATAAATTAAAACAAGTAAGTTCGCCAGCTCATCAGATTGGGTTATTATTGCTTGTCTTCTGATTTCCAATGTCTTTTCGAGTCTCCATGTACACCATATTCTACCAAGATGTGTACGAGTCTCCATGTACACCACATTCTACCAAGATGTGTACGAGAGAATTTCACTGAACACCATATTCTACCAAGATGTGAATGAAAGTCTCCACGTACACCACATTCTACCAAGATGTGTATGAAAGTCTCAATGTACGCCACATTCTACCAAGATGTGTATGAGAGAGTTTCATTGAACACCATATTCTAACCAAGATGTATTTGGGAGTTTCACTGAACACCACCTTCTACCAAGATGAGTATAAAATTTTTAATAAATAACACATCCTACCAAGATGTACATTATATACTGTTATTAGAACACTATAGCCAGTTTAACTGAATACCACAGTTCTGTTCAAGGAATGCAACATTAACAATAATTTATCTTCAATAAAACTATATTGAACCACAGCGAAGTTGGCTCATTTTCTGCTTGATTTCAAAGTGAATTAAAAATGTGATATATGGTATAATTACTCAAAGTTTACATGTACAAGTTCAAATTTCTTGTTACACTATAAACACAATATTTCTTCTTAGGCAGGTGGAGTTTCACATTTATTCTACCAAACATACTCTGGCAGGTTAAATAAGCTTATTGTTGATGTTAAAAACTAAAGTTGCTCAATACTTGAAAATAAAATTATTTTTCACAGACTAACGAAAGACAAAATGTCATGTTTTTTGAGTTTCTATTTTGTTTTCAACAAATTCATGTTTTTTGCTAACCTGCTTTCCAAACAGTCACTGTTTAACCTGTAAAATATTATTCTACTATTCCTCAGTTTTTACTACAGGTCATTTTAACACAAGTCCCAACAGGGAAAGTCAGACAAAACATAAAAATAACAAGCTAAATAATGATACCCAATTCATGTAATATAGCAGTGAAAGGAGTAGCCTATTATGTATTCTGGATAATTAGGTGTTTAGTCTGAAAAGACAAGCCAATCCTAAGACAATAAAAGGGAAAAAGTCAATAAACTTATACTCTCCATACAATGATCGAAATTAAAGTAGCAGCTCGTGGTCCTACAAGATAGCTCGTTCTGAGTGAATAAAAAATAACCAAGTTCTGGATCTTCCCAAAACAAAAACAAGATCCAAACAAATTAGCTTTGGTATCAGGGACTAAGAAACATTATAAATTAAACAAGGCTACAATTACTAAAATTCAATAATTTTTTTTACAAAAGAACAATGGAATATCTATTTAGGACAGTACAGAATCAAACCAGAAACAACAGAATGACATTAAAAAATCCAGGAAGTTTCAAATTTATTTTATTAACTGATGCAAAATATTTATTGTGCTTAACATTTTCAGGTAATGTATCAAGAACATCAATGGTATATAAATTATTCTTCCATTAAACAGATAGTGTTAGAAAGTATGCAATAAACCACTACAGTTTAGGGTAGAACTTCACTTTAGAATCTTGAATTGGTGACTTACTGAACTTAAAAAGTATCTTTGTGAACCTTTTTCTTCTTAAGTTATTTTTTGAATTATTAAATATACAGTGAATTATTAACTGACACAACTTTACTGTAAGTAATTGGTGTAATTTTAAGGTAATTAATGGCTTTTAATATGATGCTTTTATGAAATTAATTGCTCAACCAAAATGAATTTTATTTCAATTACACCCCATTAGTATAAGATGTAGATTTGAACCTTAAGGTGTGCTCCTACTAAATGTTCCTCATGTGAACACATGAAACTGTCTTATTTGTATCTTGGGAACCATTTCTCTATCAGGATTAAAAAAAACTTCTTTTGTTTAATGTTTTCTTCTACCTTTTTATGGTCAGTCATTCACTGTGACCTAATTTTATATCCACACCCCATTTTCTTTCCATCTTTAACCAGTAGTTTGTAACTGTAAAAAGGAAATTGTTTTCTTTTCTTTCTCTTATTTGGAATTACCTTAAAGTACTTTCACACATTCACTCACGTTTAATTTTTAAGTTATTACGTAGCATTTATCCGTGTTTTACTGTATTGTTTGTTTTGTTTACATAACATTTTTTTTTTACGATTAACATAATTAACATATCTTTATTCTGTTACTGTCATTCAAGTTGGTTTTTCATTATATTTTAATGACAATCTTAGGCACTACCTCATGAAAGGCCTTGGCCAGAAATAGTTACTATTTCAAAATAAGTTTTTTTGATGAGTGATAAATTTTCCAAATTTATTGTGTTTAAATTTCTCTGATTTAAAATAACAACAAACGTCAGAAAAAGTTGTCACTGATGCTAAATAATTTAATGTTTGAATTTAAAAAATTTCAACAAATCATTCATGCAGATAGTATTACTAATAGTGTGCATGGTTTTGACATTTATTTAGATTTACTCAGATGGTACATAAAGACTTGGAAGTAATTTTTAATAAACTTGAATATAATATTTAAACAGATTTAGGTATAGTCATTTGAAAAAAGCAAGAATGTGGATAATTTAAACAAGCAACTTATTACGAAATCAAATATAGTGAGATTTTATGAATTTTGTAAATGACTTCTCTTTCTTGAAAGCAATTAATTAACAGATAACCAAATAACAAATTTTATAAAAAAAAAATACCAGAAACGTATCATCCAATAAAGAAATTGAGAAATTACATGTATATTCAAGTATTCTGCACATCATCTGTCATTTGAGAAATTAGGTAAAAATGATCGCCAAAAGAAATCTCAATTTGTTTCTGCTGTTGTTATTCATAAAGGTCAAAACACATGAAAACAATGCATTTAAATCAATTATTACAACTAAGATCTCAACCCTGGCTAAGAAAAAATAACATTTAGCTTTTCTTCTATAGTTGATTCTTTATAACTTCTATGTTCTGTTTTGTAAAAATCATAAATCTTTTATGACTCCTTTGAAAATTACCTTTCTGAACAGCCATATAAATAAATCGTACAGACATGTAGAATAAAAGCAAGAATGAAATAAAACTAACGCTACAGAAATTAAAATGAAACAAATATTCCTTTTTACATAAATATGAAGAAAGTATTCATGTAATTATAAAGTTATATTAAACTTACCAAAGACACTGTGAGATGTGTAGTTTCAACAGAACCCACATTAAGTACATCAAAGACCTTTTCTGTGAGGTTTACTTCAACTACACTGTACAAGTGTACAAAACTTTTCAATGGAGATGTAATTTCATTACATTATAAAGCAATTCACTTGGAACTTCTCTGTTCAGTTCCACAACATAGGAAAATGAGTATTTATATATTAACAAATCTCTTGGAAAATAAAACACCCATTAATTTTACAGTAACTCATAAAAGACCATTTTTTTAAGCAATATAATTCCGCTATTCCTTATGAACAAACTTTCTTTGAGAAATACAATTATACTCTTTACTTGAGAGATGTAATTTCGCAACATTGTAATCTATCTATAAATATGTTAAAAACCTTTCCTTTAAGATGAAGTTGCATTACAGTGCTATATTAACTAACTTGAACCTTCTTTTGAATGCTTAAATGCCATGAAACTGTACATTAAGTGTAACTCACACACTCTGAGAACTTAAATTTATCCAGTGTACAGTAATTCATCATGTACATTTTTAGAGCTTTATCCTATTACAATATACAAAATACTTACTCATCAGGATGCAATTCCAACCACAAAATTTTCTCTAAAACTTTCATTTTACCAAACTATATTTATCAAAAACATTTTTCTCAGAATGCATTACCATTAACTGAACAGCCATTCATCAAAAACTTTTCACTGAAATATAAAATGTTATTATATTTCACAGTAACTTAGTATAAATGGTTATTTGACACCAACAGTAATTCTACCAAAAACCCAAATAATAACATATGACATTAACAGTAAAACAAGTATCACTTGCAAAAAAAATAATTAAATTATATTTCTTAGTACATCTGACTCATCTTGTACTGGCTTTTCATATAACTATGAAAATATTCTTCAGAAGTACAACTCTATAGATATATATATATATTCTCTTGTAGAAGAATTTCTGAAAATCCATAAGCTCAGAAATGAAAGATACAAGTCATACTTCGAAATAAAAAAAAACATCACATTCACAACTTTTGTTTGGTCACATTCTTTGGTTAAATGAAAGATCAGTAAAACATATTAAATATTCAAAGATTGCAATTTGTTTAGTATTCCTTTTTTGTTATTATTTAAAAGCTGAATTAAAAGATTTCTTACGGTCTATATAACATTTTGTATATACTCTTACAACTATGAAGTTAAATAAAAACATCTGCTATAACATAGAAAAGAAATATTACAAAAACAATTCATTCAAACACAGTTCTGCATTAATTCACAACAACTGAATAAATTTCATAAGAATAAAGTAGATAAAACCTTAAGACAGATTTGAACAGATAGTTGCTTCTTTTTTGATAAAGATGTGCTAAAAACTGATATGTTTTGCTTAATTATATTTTCATTCAATGTTCTAAAGTTTCTGTGAGGACTAATGTTTATTAACTTCACCACAAGGGATATATTCAAAGCTTTGTAACAAATATGTTGTTAAAATTTTACAAAATATATTCATACAAAACAAGCAGTATGATTTTAATTATTTGTGACATTATACATGTATGTACAAAGAAAATTATTGTTTACAATTACATGTACAAGTATTACATATGACACAATGTACGATTTCAACATACCATAAAGTTGGTTTTATCAAATAAAAATAATGCGTAGTACTTCCCATTCTAGCAGCAGCAAGTGAGAATTTAAAGCAATAAAAACGGTGACTTTTTTATGACAAATTTTATATCAGAAGTACAAAGTTCCTTGTGGGAGTTTCAGAAATCTTGATCTGGTTTTCTATAAATCTGCAAAACCCATAAGTTAGAAGATCATGTCATATTGGTTCAACTATATAATATGGACAAGAATAACTAAGGAAAATACAAAAATGCATTTTTAATTTGTTAAGAATCATTAATGTATTATTTTAAGTATTAAACATACCAACCAGTTGGGTTTAAAGATGATAAAATGTAAAAGACTGATCTTTTTGTAAAGATATTTATCTATTCTGGAGTTAGGAGAAAAGTAGCTTACCAATCAGACTTGTGTGTGATGGGTGGAAATTCATTTTCATCTTCAAGAAAAATTCCAGAATGAGGTGGAGATTCCATACTGGATCTCAGCTCCTGATGATGATCTGCAAACACACTGTGTTTAATGTTGCAGAATACCAAAAGGAACAGCATTTGTAACAGTAATGTGTAATATTTTAACAGTTGCACAAACATTGTTTATATCTGACAACTTCCAGTACTTCACAAGTCTTGGCAAATATAAACATAATCATTAGTAAACTGAAGCAAGCACCTCCTGAATTTTTGGACATCTTAATCACATGTGTATGGCTGCATCAAAGTGCACATGTCAGAAACTTTTACAGTTACATTTAAAATTTAAGTAAATGACTCTTATCAATGTATGTCAAAAATCTTAGTAGGAAAATGTAACTTATAATTCAAAATTTAACAAGTTTTAATTTTTTAATTTCAAAGGTAAATATTTAAATAAATTTTTATCTTCCCTTTAATGTATCACATGACACTTTCTCTCAGAATTGCCCACTGCCTATATGGTCTTCTGTGTTTGACATAAATGATACATTTATAGAATAGGTAATGCCAAAAGGTTATGTAAATTTTTATTGTCCAATCTCTTCACGTTACTGAAATATAATTCAGAAAGTCAAACCCTCCCATGATATACTGTCACTCAAAAATAATGTCAATACTTCTTTCTGACATTTTAATATACTGCTTTCCATTAATTTGGCATACAGTTTCATTATAGCTATTGCTAATGTCATCTTGACCAGGTAGATGAATTATTCTAACCCACTTGTACCTTAATTAGAAAGCCAGTAAAATTATAACAGTTTTAGGCAATTATATTTTTTGTGTTAATATTTTAATCTTAATTTCATGTTTGAAATAAATAAAACTCATTTTATGTATTACTACTATCATTACCAAAAAATAGGGTAAAGTAAGTTCATCCAGGGACTGAAAGCAAAGAAGTACAAGATCCACAGATAAGTACAAAAGTTGTTTTTTTATGTATACCTTTCAATTATTATTGTAAAAAGTAACTCAAATTCAAAAGTTAGGAGATTGTTAGGTTAGATAAAAATAATATAAAAACAACAACAACAAAAACTCTGTAGCATGAGAGCATCACGTTGTAATTTGACTATCATGCTGGGAGCTCAATAGAGTTTACATAGAGCTTCCCTGCTGTGATACTTTACTTTGGCACTAATCTAAGTGGCAATAAATTTAAATGTCCAGGAGACTGTATTAGCATTGGCTGAAAGAGTAAATAGTGGGTAACTATCTGTAACAACATAGTCATTCTAGAAAGAAAAAAAGTGTAATTTAATTTCATATATTTTTGTGGTGATTACAAAGTTGGTCAATTGGACCAAGCCTATATGCAGTGTTTAATAGAAAAAATAAAATATAAAGTTTCCTAAAAAATTTTTTGATAATCACTTATGAGGTTTTTATAGGTTATGCGAATGAAATATAAAAACTGTAAGATTTCTTTGTTTACAAAGACTTTTCACATTTACTAAAAGCTTGCCAAATTTTGTGAAGATATACCTAATAAATTTGGTATCTTACTATAATGATGTTTGTGTGTGTGTGTGTTTTAGTATCCATCACCCAGAGTTTACTAGCTCAATTACCATAATTTTTGGTACGATAACTGGAAACTGTCTGATGGTGTACATGGGTTATTTTTTAGGACTTTTGATAAGAAGGGGAATAAAAACATCCTGAAATAAGGCACATTACTACTTATTTTTTCAGAACCTTGGCTTTTAATTTAAAAGACACTTAATCAGTTAAGTGAGTCAATTATTACCTTTCACAAAACAGGGTATGCAATTAGCATATAATGAGGTGATTAGGGATTTAATAACAAAAGAAAGCAAAGAAGGAGAACATTATACAGCCTGTCCTTTATACAATTTTTGCTTTCTTAACAGTTTCACGGCAAGGTGATTTCCCTAATTATGTGATAGAAATGTAAAGCCTCATTGTAAACTCTGTCTTAGATAATTTTGCCGTTTTTCAGAAGAATTATGAATATTTCACAATATCACAATAGTAAAAAAGGGACATCAGATAAAATAATCCCTACTGTGGATGATAATAGTTCAAGGATTGTGGTGGGAAGCCTACAATGTGCTTGGAGTGTTTCAATGACAAATATAAATGACAGTTAGAATGAATTGAAATATTCAATTTCTTTTTTCCCCCCATTTTTATAAAACTTTCTAAAGAAAAACAATGTCTAATTAGTTTTTGCTCCACTTAGTCAATATGAAAATTTTATTTCCATTTCATTTCTATCCTTATTTCATTACAGTTTTTTTATTTATGAAAGAAGTCTCCGTTAGTTATTTTTTTATTTTATTTACTCAATGAAAAATTTAGTGCCAGTCTCTAGATGTAATTTTAAAATAAAAAGTGATTTAATCATGTAAATTTGTTTTATTTCAGTTGCTCTTTCAACATGGCATACGTGCTCCACCAGTGGTACATGATGGAAGGAATGGCTTTATTATACCCATCTGTACATACAAGACTTTGGGGATATGAGGTGCAGTTATAACTTATGGGTGCTGTGTACCACAGGTGGCTCACAACATCCAAAAGAAAACATGCAAATATACCACCAGTGGTGCACAATGTCATGAACGTGTTAATGGGTACTCTCAGCTAGTTATAGTAAACACTACTATGTACAGTTTCACAAAAATGGGGGTTGGTCCAATGTACCAACACAGTACATGTACAATTAAAGAAAACACAGTACGTTTTAAGAATTTAACTGATACAGGTAATATGCTGAAGCATAAATCACATTACATGTAAAGCTAATAAAACATTTATTAGAGTTGTGCCTGAGCATACTATTATGACAGCATTTTTGTTTGAAATACCTAGCTTTATACAGTTTTTATACAGCAGGAATAGTGACATCTATGACTAGTCATTACTATGAAGACCAATCTTTCGGTATGATCAAGGACACATGCTAAATTATTTTTTATACCAGTCATCCAATATTTGAATAAATAATCTAGTAACATTCACAATCAAAGAAATATTTTATTATTATGTGATTCTAACATTCCTTACCATATGCAACATCTGTAAATCAACTGATTGAGCTACTTTTATATTTATTTTCTTTGCTTAGACACACAAAAATTAATGGTTTCTTATTTGTTACTTTTAAGTTATTTGCCTCTAAATTGTTTGACTTACTAGGTGCAATTTTGATATCCTACTGTGTTTACATAATAAATATTATTTATATATTTTTGAGAAACTGCCCAAAATTTCCAGAAAGCTTGAGATATCAGAAGGTAGAGACAAATATTTTTAAGATGCAAAGTAGGACATTAAGCTGTCCATGTAGATTATGAATTTGATCATATAAGTACTAAAAACGATCACTTCAGTAGAGTGAAATGCTTCTCTGTACTGTAACCAGAAAGCTTATAAGACAAATATTATACATCTGGACTTCAAACTATAAGGAGGACTGAGATTAAATGGATAGACTTAAGTCTGATTTTCAAGGTATATAAACAGCCCATATAGAATATGGCTGCTGATAAACAAGTTTCTCTGAAATAATGCTTGTCCAACCTGCCTATTTTTAAATACTTAAATTCAAAATACAGACTTGGCTGTGGTTGCCTGTAATGTATGATTAAGTTCTCATATCAAAAACTGAAAACAATTAATAAAAATCACTGAATAAGGTTAGTTTAATATGAGGAAGTCTATAACGTTAACTACAGAATAATACAAACTATGAAAAAGTGAATTAGTGTTTACTCTAATTGCTGATAATATTTCAGGATTATGTTTTTGGCCAATACATGGACATTTGAGTATTTTGGAATGCCACAATCAAATGTTGATTGAGTGTTTTTCAAGACTTAATTTTGGTAGGGTATGTCTGAAAGCTCGATAGGTGCATACATTTAAATCAACTAATTATCTTAAACAAAATAATAATACACATATGAATTGTTTGACTTATGAGGTAAAACTTTAATTTCCTACTGTGCTTCCATAATAAATGGTACTTATATATATATATATATTTAGGAAACTGTCCTAAATAAATACATTTTCTCAAATCTATAAATAGACAATATAAGAAGTTTAAAATTGTATTATAAACTTGCTTTGTATCTCGTAACTTACTCTAGATTATAGTAATACAGACTCACATCTTTGAAGATATAACTAAGAAACAACGACATAGATGTTAAAAAGATAGAGTTCAAGTACATACTATGTTACTCATGCTCCACGTATTCTGAAATCATATATAATCCAGGCTTCACTGATAAAGAAAAGTGTCACAAAATTATGTGACTAAAACAGCTAAGAAATATGGTATAAAAATTATTCATTAAACACACGTAATCACTATGTAAAGTTAACATTTTCCTCTACCGAAAATGTAATTCTGATAATACATCCCCCTTCTCACCCTATAACTTTATCCTGATGAAAATTTATCTTCTCTGCCTATTTAAGCATTGGTATGAACATTACCTCGTTTGCTCCTGCCATTATACCTACCATATTGCCCAAAATAAGTTAAATCTTGTGATTCTCTCTCCTCACCTACATCAATTTACTCCCTATTCAAGATCCGTATATAAGCTCCCCGTTATTACTTCCTATTCACTTTTGGAGAAGATCCAATTAGCATTGAAACTTGTCATTTCATGGGGAGGAAGGGCGGAGAGTCTGAAAGGAGGTAAGTATCAATGAAAATACATTTTTCAGTAAAGAAAATATTAGCTTCCGAAAAACACCTCCTCTCTCACTATAGCTGAAATCCCACATTGACAAGGTAGATGGATTAGTGAGGGCAAGAGCCACACAGAAAGCATTTGCGTAGAAAAGAGGTATTAGAAAATTAGATATAGTAATAGCACAATAGTGGGATCCACACTACTTCTTAAACAGGTATGCTCTTTGTCTGGACAACATGAAATATAATTCCTAGGTGGTAAAGGCCTACCGGCCACAGAGTAAAAATCCTAGCATCATTAGAAGAACATATATTTGTTGTCTCATCCTTGGAATTACAGGGTTGTTGACCCAATTCTACATCTAAACCGTAGTGGTTAGGGCATGAGGATCACTGTGGATTTAGTTTTGTTTAGTAATGTGGTATTATTGGAACAAAACCTGAAGGTTACAGAATGTTGCACGTCAAACCACCGGAATTACGAAGAGAAGACAAGCAACACAAAAGTAGACAAACCCTCGCCCCAGCCTGAAGAAATGCAAATTGCAACAAACCAAACTTGAAATTACGAGACCTTTCATGCCTCACTCAACCTGAAAAACAAAATACTCGGCCTGGGATTATGGACTAATCTGAGAAGCAAGGTAACACTTCCCTTCCTGTCCCCAGCATTACGAGGAGTATGTGGAACAAACAAAGTCCAACCAAGGGCCCAGGAAGTGATGCTTTGTGTGTAGAATTATGAGGAGTTCAGAACCCTCTTCCACAATCACCAAAATGAAGAGAATGACCAAAACAAAGGGCCATGCTCAACTCACCTGGACAGTGAAGAGCAATCTCTGAACTGGAATTATGAGAAGACTTCTGTACAGGCTGCACATGCTCCCATCATACATCTAGGAAAATTATCCAGGGTTATTGGTAGGAGGGCACCCACTTTTGCCCTCTTCTCCTTGAGTGGAATAATGAGTTCAGGCATCACTCAGGAGGAATAGACCTCTGTCCACCACTCAAGTGAATGGAAACTGGGAATGGTAAAGACTCACACACTTCACTACGAGAAATGGTGTGGGGATGGATACGTTGGAAAGTCAAGAGGAATGATGCTCCAGAGACAGTGCAGTAGGTGAACCATGTTCCCTATTTTGAAAAAACGAACTGACCCCAATTAATTCAATCTAGGGGTCATCAGGGATGGGCAAAATCCCCTTAAGCTTTATTCATGATGATCCATGAGTGGTAGTCCAATAGTGTATTAGTCTTTGTGTTATAATTGTTTACCACCTGGAAAGTGCACAAGGTGGTCTTATGGAACACCACATCTCAACAGAGCTCGTTGCTACCAGGACATTTTTTTATCAGTCGATTGGTAGCTAGTGCAGATTTGGAAGAAAGCATACCTGACCAGGCAACACCCGTCACCGAGTGGGATCCAAATGAAAATGCCAAAGGGTTTTTGAAAAAGAAGAGAAATAAACACAAAATATTATTACTGAAATCACTTTAAAAAACTATTACTTCAAAATTTCATTTTTGTTATTTTGTAACATAAAGAAAATAGACAAAAAACTCCAGACCCAAGAAGATAGGTCTTAAATAAGGG